TATACCTTATACAGTAAAAAAGTTTTTAGGTTCTATTAATCCTGACAGCTAAGCTGGCAGAACTTCTAAACCCTTGTCAATAGGGCTTATGCAGTCTATTGGCTCCTCAAGTTAAAGCAGTTGTCTTATTCTCATTAAAATGTTCAGTTATGGAAACTTAGCAAGGTAGGCATCCTATCAAACATCATGATTGACAAGAATAGGAGAGCAGAACCTTTTTCATGCTCCAAGTGCCATCTGATGGTGCAGGAAGGATATAGATACAGAACAAGTAACTCAGTTAAACTACATCATCCTCTGAAGAAAGGAGCCTATGGTTAGGTGCACTGTCTATGCACAGTCGCCTAAAGAAACAATTTAAATCCTGGGATTCGGTCCTCAGGAACCTTTGAGAGAATCAATGGTACTTAGGCTACCATGTCACTTAGGCACATTTGAAAATGTAAGCCTTCTTTTTTCAGAAATCCCTGTCATGTTGTTGAGGCAGCCACAAACACATTAGAGGACTTAGTGGTTGTATGAATAAAGACAGTTTTGTATTTCAGACATATTTTCAAAGTTAATGAAGAAGTGTAAGTTGGAACTTTCTGTGTTTTTTATGTTTTATTTTGTTTTCCCTTGCTTATAGATGTGAATTTTGAAAATATAGAACAGTGGATCTAAACTGTAGTTCTCTGACTTGAAGAAAAGGAGTTTGAGAACATTGGATATTTATACACGTGCTCTGGGAGGTGAGGGGAGGAGGGTGGGGAAAGACACGTTTTAATTACAGCAGCTTCAAGAGCCAAGTGTCTGTCCAACCTGCTCTTGAAAATTTCCAGGGATGGAGATTCCACATGTCTATACAGCCTGTTTCAATGCTTGGTAAATCAATGACCTTAAGCCAAGTCACTTAAGCCAAGACTTTTAAGTGTAACTAAGCACAGAGGCGAGAACATAGACTTGTTTGAAAATCCCATTAGGTGCTTTACCTGTATCTTTACACACCTAAATACCTTTAAAAATCTGGCCTCTACTCTTTCTGTACTTCAGTTCTTCATCTGTAAAACAGCATTTATAACACTGCCTTTCCTCACAGGGCTTCAGCAAGGATTATGACAGGTCTTAGATGAGGGATGGGCAAAATACAGCCCCTAAAACACTTAGTAAATTAATATTTATCTGCCCTGGCCTGCCTGTTATGAGGCCCTCCATGGCTTGCCAAAACTCAGTAAGCAGTCCTCTGCCCAAAATAATTGCCTGCCCCTGTCTTAGATATTACAATAGTAAGGGTCCCTAAAAGTACCAAAAAAGAGAATCAGAAGAGGTGAAGATAAATAAATGCTTTATAATTTTCATAATTAGGGTGACCATATGTCCAAGTTTGGCCAGGACAGGCAGCCTGACCAGTTGGTGCAAATTGAGGCAACAGTCCTGGATTGGTGGTGATCAGCTGGGGCAGGGCAGGGGGAAGAGTGCCGCAGTGTGTGTGTGTGCGTGTGCATGTGTGTGTGTGTGTGTGTGTACACGAGTGATGCCCCCCTGACATCCTGGGTGGTTTCCCACATCACCCACCGCGAAGGCCAGCCCTGACTGACTCTATTGTGCAAGCACACCAGCTCACAGTCCAGCAGAATCAAGACCAGGGAGCAGCTGTGCAGAGCCCAGGTAAGGGTGGAGCTTCCCAAGGGGGTAGAGATGAGATGCCCTGAGGGGAGCGGGGGTCCCTCCACCTGTCCTGCCCACCTGGCTGGGACCTGTGTTGGGTGGTGGGGGGCAACTCCAGGATCCAGGCTCTGCCCTGGGACTGCAGCACCAGCTGGGCCAGACTAATCTGCAGCTGCAACAGAAACAGCAAGGCTAGGGACAGAAGTTACACATAAACCGGTTGAAATTATCAGAAACTGGTTTAAACCTGTAACAGAACATAAGTTCAACGCACATAAACCAGATTCAAAACAGCCAAAAGTGGTTTAAGATAAACCTGGCTGAATGTAGTATCAGACTTAACTGATTCGGGTCAAACCAGTTTACAGAACTTCTATCCCAGACCCCTTCCTGGTTTAAGTTAAATCAGAGTCCCCCAACATCCCAGCATGCTCTTCAGCCCTGGGCTGGGCTGTGCTGTCTGTTCCAGAGAGCAGCAATGGCCCTGCCTCTCTGCTCCCTAGCTGGAACAGGAGCAGATGCTGGCCTACATGGCCCCCTGAGGTGAAGGAGGCAAAGAGGAGGCTTATTCTCCCTCCCTCCCCTCTCCCACCAGGACCCCAGCCAGGGTTTGCCTGGCTAGGGTTCAGGAGCCCG